CCAAGGAATATAATTTAATGAAACTATAAAATTATATCTATCTGTATTTTGTACTGTGCAGTGTAATATATTTTTCCTCTGAAACATGGTATTTTTCTATTTAATTTTAAATTACTTTACTAATATATTTACTTATTTGCTTATTTTATCAAAAATGGCCAAACTCAATTCCAAATCCAGTAACATAATATTAACAGCCTATAACTGAAAATCTAACTCTTAAAAGACAATTTCCAGCCAAGATAAAGAAAAGTTGCTAGTCGAATTCAGAAAGTTGGCGGACAATGTGGGTAAAGAAAATTGCTGATGGGGATGGTTCGACAACTTTAGAACCTAACAATTTCGACAGTAGGCACGATTTTATCTTCTATTCCAGGGAACAGAACAGATAGATTTAGCATTGTTTTACTTAGACAGCCAAAGCTATCGAGCCCACTTTTCGAGCCATAGTTTCTCGAGTAAAACCATGAAAGAATTCTTAAATTTTCAAGATAAAACGGTTGTACATGCAAAACGTAGTTTGTTATTTATATAAGGAAGATGAAAATACGTCATCCCTCGAAGGAGTAGAATAATAGAGTGCGGCTTTATAAAATGACATTGTTTTAGAGTTTAACTTTTGATTCCCTTCTTTTCCATAAGTCCTGGCGCGCTACAGCGGACCGCTTATAAATTAGATTCTGCTCTGACGAATACACGAATGGTTTTCTTCGGTTTAAATAAAATAATAATCACAAAAAATGCTTCATGAGAGATGGAATATTCATCCTCCAGTGGTGAAACATTTGTCTAGGTGCCAATACTTAAGACAGGAGTAAGCAATTATTATTTTACATGATAAATTAAAATTATATTGATTTCATTCACTAATTTCGTTGTCCGCTTGACCAATTAATATATTACAATTGCTTAAGGTTTTTAGTTGAGATAGGAAATGGTCTTTAGTCAAAAATGGCAAAAAGGAGGGAAAATTCAAAAGGTGGGGTTGAGGCGGGAAGTTGGTGTCCGAGTGGATCGAGGTCACGATAGCTCAAGTGGTAGAGCAGCGGAGTATCAAGCCGAAGATCGTGGGTTCGAATCCCGCTCGTGCCATTGACTTTTTTATCTCAACTAAAAATCTTAATGAATTGTATTATATTGATTGTAGCACGAAAATTGTTATTTTATAAACTTTATTGGTATTATTTTCCACAAAGCTCGAAATATATTACAAATTGTATATAGCGTATATAGCGTGTAAAAAATGCAAGAAATACCAAAAGGTAAATAAAACAATTTAAATAAAAATCGATACAACAAGACGTTTTGTAAAATAATAATATAGAGCATCGATTTTTTGGTTTTCACCCCCATTTTTTTGCAGTTGAGCTATAGCGGATTTGAAAAACGAAACTATGAAAAAATTGCAGAATTTTGTTGTTTCATTTTTTCGAAAGTCCTTCACACTACCATTCATCTCTTACCGCGGGTCGACTGACCACCAGACAATTTTCTTCGTTTTCTCTATTTTGTGGGTTAATAGGCATATTCTCATAGGACGATTACGTTTTTGAATGTAGGAAACATCCTCCCTAAATTTTTGAAACAGATTCTTCCTCCTACGCATGGCGCTATGTCCATGCTGGATGGAGGTCCGGTGCACAATTCCAAAATAGAAAAGTGTTTCTTGGATCAGCGATTCCCTAATCGGTGGTCAGGCACCCCTTTTTAAATCGGGTTTAGGGAAATTTATATCCCATGAATGGCCGGCAGGAATTACGAGAAAGGATCTAGGAAGCATGTAGTGAAAATGACGGGGTCTCTAGTACGAGCATTAACGGATAAAACGAGCAGGGATGTCTACGAAAGCTGAAGCTAGTTTAAAGCTTGTATTTAATTTTCTAGCATAACGTAGGGGGGGAATAAGAGTAGTCCAAATCTAACAAAAAAGCTTTCCTTTAATATACAGCTTTCTTCAGGACAAAATTTTGTGCTCAAAGAATGAACATAAAACCATGGTTTTTGTCAAGAGAATTGCAATACTTGTTATCACGTGGGAGATTCTTTGACTGTGCCACCAACTAATAACTAACACTTGTTACATGGATTTCTTAAAAAGTTAAAAAAATTATCACAGCCTGATTATGGAAACCTTATGCATTATAAATAGTTGAATAAATAATATTTTAATTTAGATAATTACATAATTAATCCTTTTATAAATAACAAAACATGTATTCGTAAAATTCCCGATGGGGGGACTTGTCCTATTCTAAAATCCCATTGTATACTATACTCAAACCATTTATATCAGTTTTTAAATTGCACGAATTGCTATCCTAGTGAATCGAGGTTCTTCAGTTATCGACCAACTTTGATTATAATCTGGTTTGGGATGATATTATTCTATGTGGCGAATTATTATGAAAATCACTCATCAGAACATCCATTTCTTTTTTAATCCTATCAAAAGTCCAAATACACTTTTTGATCTCTATGTTCAAACTCACTTTTTTCATTCTATTTACATCTTTAAATACTAAGTAATGGTTCTTTTTCAATTGGTGTAAATAAGTATTTAGAATTATCCGGAATATATGGTGGATAGATAGCATGAGATCTACATTTTAATAGAAAACATCTCTGTGCTTTACACATCAACAACATCTTGTTAGTATTGAAATACAATTTTAACTTCACACTAATTGTCGCACCAAATTCGCGTCCTATGTCGTTGTAGAATGGCATGTCTAAGGCTGACCCAGCAATTTACTTTATAATCAAATAATTATTCAGAAATCGTGAGATGCTGTCTTGTGTGATGTAGGTTTCAGAAAATAATTTTCTTTATCGTGCCAGCGTTTCGATCTTTATTGAGATCATCTCCAGGGCCTGGGATTTACAAACATTGTTTATAATTAACAAATACATGTAGGGTGTGGAAAAAGTGAATTTATACAATGCAAAAAAATTTATATTCGATCAAAGTTTTTCTACTCACGCAGAAAAACACTTTGAGTTAGAAGAAATACTTTGATCGAATATAAAAAATATATTTTTTTTTTTGCGTTGTATAAATTCACCTTTTTCCACATCCTACATGTATTTGTTAAACTTAAACAATGTTTGTAAAGCCCAAGTCCTGAAGATGATCTCAATAAAGAGTGCCAAAGTTTCGATCTTTATTGAGATCATCTTCAGGGCTCAAAATGTTTGTCTTCTTTGAGTGTGCAATTTTTGCGTGTCGTGTTGACTCTTACATTGGCACGATAAAAAAAAATGTTTTTCTGAAACCTACATCACACCAGACCGCATCTCAAGATTTCTGAATAATCATTAACTAACGGTTAATAAACACCACACATTTATAATCAAAGTTGGTCGGTAACTGAACAACCTCGTAAATTGCAGGGTCAGCCATAGACATGCTTTTCTACAACGACATAGGACGCGAATTTGGTGCGACAATTAGTGTCAAGTTAAAATTGTATTCTAATACTAACAAGAAGTTGTTGATGTGTAAAGCTCGTAGATGATTTCTATTAAAATGTAGAACTCATCTATCTATCCATCACATATTACCTAAAATTTTAATACTTATTTACACCAATTGAAACAGAAGGAATTACTTAGTATTTAAAGAGATGAATGGGATGAAAAAAGTGAGTTTGAACATAGAGATCAAAAAGTGTATTTGAACTTTGATAGGATTACAAAAGAAATGGATGTTTTGATGAGTGTCTGTGACATTATCAAATTCAAAACAATGACTTTTAGCATGTTAATGTTTCGATCACGCAGTTCCAAGTCCTTCTTCCTCATCACATTCAAATTTATGTTGACGCACTTGTTCAGCCATGTATTGTTTGGTTTGACCATAATATGCTACAGGACAATTTTTATATATTCAAGACAATATACATTTGATTTTTGTGAAGGAGGTTCTTTAAATTTCAGTTTGGTATAGAAATTTTTTCCTACCTTATTATTGTACTGTCAAACAATTTTCACACCTTCTGTTTTTCTTTCTAATACATTTTTTAATTCGTTTGAACTTTCACTGGGATAAGTCCATATCTCCACATGTTCAAAACCATAAAACTCTATATAGATAAATTGCTTGAATTGCTAGAAAACTTGACATAATTCAACAATGCGCTTTATTTATTCAACTACAGTAATGCCTCACCTAAGATAACTTCATTACAATATTATTTATAGTTTAAACGTTTTCGTTGGTTGTCCTTTAGTTCCAATAAACGGTCTGATTTTTTTCTTAGTGGTGCCAACGTTTCGATCGTTATTTCGTATTGAGAGTGCCCATGACACACAAGAACGCCAAATCTCCACAGAAAACACTTTGAGCCCTGAAGATGATCTCAAATAAAGATCGAAACGTTGGCACGATAAAGAAATTTTTTTTCTAAAACCTACATCACACCAGACCACATCTCAATCTCCAAATAATCATTGGCTAACGGTTGTGTGTAAACACCACACATTTTTTTATATTTATGTTTTTGAACTCTGCTATTAGCATAACTGCGAAAAAATGTGGTAAAAGCCTGAAAGATCTATTATGTTAAAAAATGTATCTTACGAAATCCGCAAAATATTTCGATGAAAAAATCAATTTTCATAAAAAAAGACGTAATTTAAGAATATGTAGAAAAAACACACACCTGAATTTGAAAAAAAAAGTTGATTGAGACATCCTGTATATCCGTGTTAGAAAAAAAGAGTTTTTAAATCAAAATAAACACCTTTCTGTAAACAAAGGGGGCTACGATTTAATTTACTCCATAGAAAAGCCAGCAATAATTTTCTAAACTAGCTTTTCCGGCAGTTAGACATAACAGAGAATGGATGTTGTAACATTCCCCTTAGTGGAGATATTAGGTTTTAAACCGTTTCAATTTAAGGGGTGGCATTTTATCCGAACCGGAAAGTTTTACCCCCTGAACGGTTCTAACACCCGTGGAATTAAACGAGGCGAATTCGAAAATAGCTGAGATACTCACTTTTCCGAAACCCATTTTCCAACCAAGGGCGGAGGAAAGATGATCTCTGTCATCTGGTCCGCTTCAGCAACGCGTTCTTCCAATTCGTCGCACGACGGACTCGACAAACCTGGAAAAAAGATATGATGATTATCATTAAACAAAAATCAAATTTTATGAACTCAGTAATAAAATATGTATTTTTTATTTGACACGGAATCTTAGTAAGACTATAAACTGAATCTCTTTGGTTTACACAGTATTTAAACTATGCGACATGTTTGGTAGCCACAGAAAGACTTAATCGACAAACCACCAAAGAACGACGATTTCCTTTTACCCACTTCGCCCCTTCCTGATCAATACTGCGATCATAAAAACCTTCGACAACAAAAGAAAGAAAGCGAGGACAGTCAATGACAGGTTTCCCAAGAGAAAAGCCCAAAAACCTTGTTACGGGTTAATGAGAGAAAAAATCCTGCAACAAAACGTGGAATGAGTTTAACGGGAATGGATTCGAAAAATAGGGAGGGACAATCGTCTTTTTTTTATAATCAAGAATCCGGCGGAAATTTACAGAAAATGCCGGCCATTTTTATTTTTCAAACTCATTTGAAACAACTATTTTAAGAAATTCTCAGTTTTTATTAGTAAAACAAATAAAAAATAAAATGAAATAAAATAATTTAAATGAGGAAGTTTCCATTTGTAACTTGTTGAAAATAAATACGTTTCAGTTACTAGGGGCATATCGGGGACGAATTCCCAACTAGAGAAAATTAAAAAAAAAAATAGAGATTGTAATTGGATTTAGGAAATTAGGGACAATCGTCTCTTGCTTTTATATTGAAGAATACCGCGGAAAATTACAGAAAATCCCGAAATTTTATTTATACAACTCTTTTGAAACAACTATTTAGAAAAATTCTCAGTTTTTAATAGTAAAATAAAAAAACAAAATACCCATTTTAAATGAGGAAATGTTCATTTGTAACCTTTTGAAAATAAATAAATTTCAGATACAATAAGGGCATATTGGGAACGAATCCCCACCTACTGAAAATTAAAAAAAAATAGAGTTGGTAATTTGATTTAGGAATGTAAAGACCAGTTGTGAGTATCCATTCTATTTCCTTACGTCAATCTGTCTTTTTAAAAAAGAAAAAAAAAATTAAACATTTTTGCCTAAAACAAAATCTCAATTTAATTTAAATCTAAATTTAATGTCAAAATAAACTTGTTTTTATATTTTTAAAAGAAAAGATGTGTTTTGTTCGCTATACACGACATTAATTTTAGTCGTTGCTTAAATGTTATTTTATTTTATAGTTTATAATAAAGTTTGGCAAACATCAATTTCTTTTAATTGTTTAAGGTTTTATTTATTCAATTAAGACTCTGGGACCATGTGTTCCCAAAGGAAACCAAGGTTGCGCCCATCCTTAACACAAAATGCTAACCAACGTGACACATACAGGAACACACTTGCCCGATGCAACTCTCTGCGACGATTCCCGTTGGTACCCGATATTACCCGGAGCAAATCCAATGTCCAATTTTTCGTAAAGTTTTATTACCCCCACGCACATCTGCCCGATGCTACGCAACGCTACTCTACTCTACGCTCTGCAATCCCCACTGTCCAGATTTTCGTCTGGTAGCATCGTGTACACTCAAAGACAAAAGAACCATACACTCATCTTTTTATTGAAACTATATGTATTGGTGTCGTTATATTAATTACAACATACTTAATTTAATATAAACCACATTTACTGAGATCAAAAATTCATTAGTTTTTATTTAAAAAAATTAATTTTAATCGTTTGGTAGATAATTGATCAAAGCACCGGAAAACCATTTTTCGATATAACGAATTTAACTAACAATTTATTACACGGTTTTATTCATAAAATTTAACTAACAATTTATTTCATGATTTTGTTCATATAGTTACAGGATTTTCGCCTAGTAGCGTCAGTACAGGACACTCATATTTTTTGTAGTTTATTTCAAACTTGGTATATTCAAATTGTTTATGTAATTTCGTCGTTATTTTAATTACAACATTACTATTTTAATATAAACCAAATTAAACGAGATGTAAAATTGATTAGTATTTATAAAAATTATTTAATTATGATGGTAAGGCAGAAAATTTATCAAAACACCGGAATAACTTTATTTAAAACAATTAAATTTAATTAACAATTATTACATGGTACTGTATATAGTTTATGTGTGTTTGTGCTGTGCTTGTGTTGTGTCTGAAGTGTTTGTGTCGTGTTTGTGTGGTGTTTATGTTAATACATTAGGATGAACGTAATTTATTTGCGTGAAAGGAAGGGGTTATTTACCCCACCTCGAGGAATGTCGAGTACTCTGGGGTGAGTGTGTGATGTCTGGGGAGCAAAAGTAAGTTATTAGCGCGAATGGAGTGGGTTCGGCCCCGCCCCGAGGAATATCGAATACTCTGGGGGAGTGAATGTGACCAGACTTTTATGTTAGTATTGTATGTTGTTTATATTTTACTCTGTTGGAATGAATGTAATTTAAGCATGAAAGGAAGGGGTTTATTTACCCCGCCCCGAGGAATATCGAGTACTCTGGGGGAGTGAATGTGACCAGACTTCTATGTTTGTGGCGATATATATGTTATGTATTGTATGTTGTGTATCTATTCTTAAATTGACAACCTGAGGTACTAACAAGAGGCTAGCTTTTTAAAATATACAAGTAAAAGCAGAGAGTCAGTAACCAGATCGAGATGCTCAAATGGCTGCAGTTCAATACAAAATACGCGAGAAAGACAGGAAAGAGAAGGAATACATGCGGAATATATATATATATATATATATATATATATATATACATGGTTCAGCTCAAAATAATACATTACGAACGTCTTATTAACGTTACATATGAACCTTGCGATTGCGTTAATGATTTGTGATACACGCTTTGTGACTGAACGTGGCAGATGAGCACACCCTACAAAACCTGACAAGGCGTCGGGTAGCATCGGATAGCGTAGCGTAGTGTTGCATCGGGTAAGTTCCCCGCTTAACGGTGTTTAGCATCAAATATCAATGCGAACACATATAACAAATACATTGAAGAAACTAAGGAAAATAAAATATCGGTGCAAATAAAGGCAAAAAGCGGTTGATAGCTTCTTAGCCTAACTAAGGCCTCGGGACAACGAGTCCTTCATCAAACCTTGTCTTTTTTTAAATTTCTGTTTTTATCTAAACCTAATTTTTGCCAACGACATTAACCTACTTCAAACAATCTATTGATGATACTTATCATTTAGTTTATTCTCACAGTTTATTATAAAATTTATATAATGTATTATCTTTCTTCATTATACTATATTATTAAATTCATTAGATTTAGTGGTCCGATTGACCAAATAGCATCTTTCAATTAATTACATAATTTAATTAATTGAAATACTATATTATCTTTTCCGAGATAACAGATAGAATAAAATGGTCTGCAAGTGATTTTAATTGGATAGCGTTAATTTGTTTATGGTGATTCATGATGTTTAAAACTATTGTATAGATAATTCGTGTGTTGGTGCAGAATCGATTAAGCATTTTCATTAATTATCTCTCCTAAGGATATTTTGGCAAACTAATCGACTAATATCTCAGACTTTTTACCGACTAAGGGTCAACGTGCTTTCGTTGAAAATAACAAAAGATGTCTTTGAACCCTAGAAGGAAAGAAACTCTAATCTGAGAATTTTACCTCGGATTACATTATCTCCCGGATCTTCCATTAATTAAATAGAGTTTTTATACGGTCGATTAGTCTAGAAATTTAAATTAAAAACGACAGTATCTCCTATATTTATCTTTTCGTACGGTCAAAATGTTTATTTTCTAACTAATCGATATCAAAATTAGGCATATCCAGGTTTTCATCTTCTAGGCCACACCACAACCTTGCTCCCTTCCTCGTCAATCTTTTTGTCATTCAAGCCTACTAACAATAGAGGATTTAATTCTTCACATGTCGTTTTGGTACATTATATAAATTTGTCACCAAATATCAATCTGTATAAACTGAACTGCTAAAAATGAATTAATCCAGCACCCATGCGTCCGAACTCGACATGCTTACAAATGGGCGTTTTTCCAAAACACCGGCACCCCTAGGGTTCATATAACCGTGTAGTTGAAATACCCTCGTAAAAAAAAGAACAGAAAAAAAAACGAAAATATATTTTTATGGACATCGGCAGCTGAATGTTTAGGGCGTTAGAGTCTCCACTGGTAGACGCCACAATCTTGGGTTCGATTCCCACCGTCGCCGTTGGAATTTTCTTTAACCCCTTCTTCCATATAAATCAACCGGCACAAGGACTGTTCTCTGCCTGATTTTTCTTGATTTTAGAAAGAAATATAAAATAATGTTTTCAAAGCTCTCTTGAATTATTTGCGGTACTTTCCTTATAAATTGTTATTCAGATATCGTGAGATGCGGTCGGGAGTGATGTAGGTTTCAGAAAAACATTTTCTTTATCGTGCCAACGTTTCGATCTTTTATTGAGATCATCTTCAGGGCCTGGGATTTACAAACAATGTTTACATTTAACAAATACATTTACGATGTGGATAAGTGAATTTATACAATGCAAAATATATTTTATATTCAAACAAAGTATTTCTACTCACTCTAAGTGTTTGTCTTCTGTGTAATTGTGCCATACTTGTGTGTCGTGTTGAGAGTGCCAGTGAGATTTTGCTGTTTCAAACAATAATAATATAATATATAAATATAAAATATATTTTGCATTGTATAAATTCACTTATCCACATCCTAAATGTATTTGTTAAATGTAAACATTGTTTGTAAATCCCAGGCCCTGAAGATGATCTCAATAAAAGATCGAAACGTTGGCACGATAAAGAAAATGTTTTTCTGAAACCTACATCACTCCCGACCGCATCTCACGATATTTGAATAACTATCGATTAACGGTCACTAATCTCTACACATTTCCTTATAAAGCAACATAATATATTCAAAAGATCATTTCTTTTTTCTGTCTGCAGGTCGTTTCTTAACAAATTGGTTTGCCTATCCAAAGAGTTTTCTTCAGTCACAAAAGTCCTG